TCTAGTCAGGTGCTCCCGACTAGGGGATACCCTGAACCCCCTTCTTTATAAAATGAAAGATACTTCATATATATATATATATATATACTATTCTAGAAGCTACATGTCAAGTTTGGTTACTCTTGTTCATATTATTTACCGAAATTGCCCTAAAAACAGGATTTCGATATCGATTTTTATCGATTACTTGGAAACGGGGCAAGTTATCGAATATCGGAAACAAACTCTGCGCGGGGACTAGGAGGACCTACAGCTAAAATTTCAAGTCCCTAGCTCTTATAGGTTCTGACATCCTTGCGTTCATACATACGGACGGACAGACAGACAGACGGACATGGCTAGATCGACTCGACTATACATATATACTTTATGGGGTCGGAGATGCTTCCTTACATAATTGCCTGTTACATACATTTGCACAAATACATTATACCCTCTTTACCCATTTTCAATGGATTCAGGGTATAATAATAATAACTTACATAGCTTTTATAAATACAAACACATTTTAACTTCTTATAAACTAAAGATCAGTTCAGTGTAACTCTTAGCTACATTCTAGCTTCATTCTTAACTTACATTCGTTTTCCATTAGCCCAACACTATGGAAATTGCTCTCTTGATTTACTTGGATGTTTATTATCCGATTTTATAGAATTTTAAGGACGTTAATATGGTATCCAAATGTGAGTAAATACATTAAATTTAGAGGGTATGGAGCGCAGTGCCCAAAAAGTGAATTATTCAAATTCACATACTTTAGACGGGTAAATATACTTTATAGAGTCGAGGATGTTTTCTTCTTTCAATACAAGACCATTTTAATTCAAATATATTTATGAATATATTTAGATAAATATCAAATGGACACTAAATTGTGATTGATTAAAATGTTGCAGTCTTAGCTCCGACTATATCTTAAAAGTCAATGGAATACTAAGCCAGCTCTAGAGGTCGCAAGATTAATGGACGACGACCAGTCCATAATATAAAACAACTGACTACTGTATTAATAATATATCGAGCAAAGCAGAATACTTATTTGTTAAGATATTCATTAATTTCCTAATGGAAAATGGAAGCTACTCTTGACTAGTCAATACCAGGAACTGCATTGGAAATTCATGACGGGTTTTGAATAGCAGTCAATGTAGATATAAATATTTATTTCAATTAGATATGTAGAGCTAAAAAGTTAAGTTAATTTATTTAACTTACCAAAAATGTTAGCAATGTTTTGAAACAGAGTAATCTTAAGGTTAACAGTCATATCTTACAATGTATCGAAAACTGTAGCCAGATCTGATTAGAAGTTGTCCAATAAGATTATTTACTATCCACTTGAATTTACATTTCAAATTCTGTTAAAAGATAACCCTAAAATTTAACATTTACTTAATTGAATGTGTGTATATGTAAGTGCTTGTTACGCAGTCCAATCAGACATTACCCCTCCATCCAGTTGGAGTCCATTTGTATGGCAAGTGGAAAACCGTTTAGCTGTCAATTAAATACAATTTCCACATGGCTTTTTATTGATTTTCTCGCTCAACGTGGTTGAGGCGAGTTGGTTAAGTCGAGAGGGCAATCAACGGTTTTCATCATGTGTTAATTGCAATTAGAGCGGCTCGCAGCCATATTTGTTACGTCTGTCTGTGTGTGTGTGTGTGTGTTTGTGTGTGTTTACGTATATTTGGTATTCAAATATCGATACATAGGCGTATTTTGTTGTTTGCCTGCCAATGGGCAGGGCAAACATAAATTGAGACAAATTCCCCATGACAAGAAATCAAAGCAAAGCAAAGCAGAGCAGAGCAAATCAAAATGCGAGCCAAATAGGCCGCTTGGGGGCATTGCGCAATCCGCCGACCGACACAAATTATTAATTTGCGCAACAGTTGTAGCCATTTTGTGATCTGACTTATGACACAGTCATGTCCATTGTTTGCTAAACGGCATTAGACAAACAACAGTAACAGCCAAGGCAGCCGCAACGGCAACGGCAACGACAACGACAACAATCGCGACAATCGCAATAATAAATGCTACGATTCGATTAAAAGATCAGCACAAACGAGAAGACTGCAAAAATGCAATTCCAATAAGATTGACAATGAGCGGCTGGCTGCCTAACGAGCCTTACAGCGGGTGCAAGCGAGAGGGCACACAGTCAAAGTCTGGCTTGCTCTCCTCTTATGTTGCTCGTTTGTAAGCAACATACATTTTTGCGCGTCAGCGACGACAGCACTAAAGGTTCAGCTCTCTCTCCCTCTCTCCCTCTCTCTATCTCTCTTTCGCTCTCTCTCTCTCCCTTTGCCTCTTTCGCTGTCTGTCTTTGTGGGTCGCAGTCGCAGCCGCAGCCGCAGACTCAGAGTCGGTGACTGCGCTGCGCTTTGTTTAAATAAAAGCCTCTTTAAGTTTATCTATCGGGGCGCATCTAAATTGTGTGGGGAGCCCGTCGCTCTGTGCGATTATGCTATTTGTTGGTGCGACTGCGCAGTCGGCAGCGACTGCGATTCTCGTGTAATGTTTTGCCGGTGCGCTTTTATTTTGCTGTTGCTTTTGCTTTGGGTCTTTAGGAGGTTGTTGTTGTTGTTACTGTTGTTGTTGTTACTTATTGCTAGCGTTGTACGCTTCATGTTTTGATTGTATTTATTTTAGTTTGAGTAACTTTACTTTTTTGCTGCTGCTGCTGCTGCTGAGCTGCTGCCGATGCCACGGCCGCTGCCGCTGCCACTGCTGCCGTCCATTTCTGATGAAGATTTTCTGCGCGATTAACCGGCGAGATCGCCTTACGCGCGCTCCACGCGGTCTCTTTTATGTGAAAAGCGTTTCGTGCGCAGCTTTAATCATGTCTCTTTTCATGGAACGACGGCGAAACGGCGCGACGGACCGACGAATCGCTGAAACGGCCATCGGGGTGGGGTGATGGGGCACATATAATGGGGAACGGTTGGATTTCGCATTGCGCAGACATTTGAGCAATTGCGTTTAATTTTATTCATAATTCGTGTCTAGGGTTTCTCGACTGCTTTTAATCTCTGTATAATTGTTGCCTTCTTCCTCTCTCTCTCTCTCTCTCTCGCTCCCTCTCTCCTTGTGTGTGAGCTGCCAGCTGAAATTAAGCTTGATTAATTTGTTGGTTGCATTATCGACGCGTCGGCATCTGGGCCCAGATCGGACCCAGACCGGGGGCCGCGACCTGCGGTCCACTGACTGGGCCGGAGCAACAAAGTTATTAAACTGGATTGGGTGTGCAATTGGGGCGTGGCAGTGTGCCTGGCCAGATAATAAACCGTGGACAGCTTTCGATGGTCGACGGCATCAAGCGCTGTGATATAGCAAATACAAAAAGAAAAAAACACTGGAATTTCTATTTTATGGCCAACGGATGTTGGCTTTTTAATGGCCCATTTTGAAAGATGAATGCAGATAAGATAAATTTAGCTTATTAATTAGTTGCCGAGAGACTTATGTATGTATGTATGCATGTGTGTACACAAATAATCAAAGCAATTCAAAAGGGCTGCCACTTGAAAAACAGTTAATTTGAGAGTCTCAACATAACCTCAACAGCGGCGACAGTACGTATGTTGTTTGTATGTATGCACATACCCATGTACTACAATTGTAAGTGTGTGTGTTCTGTAGCCCAATTAGACAAGCTCACACACACACACACACATACGCTTGAATGGTTGTGAACAACTATCATCAACGGCTGATGTGTGAAGCAAAAAAGGCATCAAAAACAATTATGAAATCACAGCAGATGTTGGAACAAAATTGTGGTGGTGATTTATAAAGCGCAGGCTAAAAACAGCAACAGCAACGGCAACAGAAACGGCAACAAAAACAACAACAGTGACATCAAAAAGCGCAAAATTTTGGTGTATTTTTTTTAGGTTTTGTGTTTTATTAAAAGGAGAAAAACGAAAGACACGAATGGAGGCAGCAAACAGGGACCCAAGCATGTGGCATGTGTTACACATACAGAGGCAAACGCACACACGCACACATGCACACCAATTGGTTTGTGTGTACGCAAAAAGAGGATGGAGGATGCCACTAAAAGGACTGCAGATGCGCAGCCACAAGCCAGAAACTTATGTACGGTGGAGATTTACGACTTAAATGCTGCAGCGCATAATCAAAAAGACAAGCGCAGATGGAGCTGGAATCGAAGCTGTGTGGAGCAGCAGCAGCAGCAGCAGCAGCATCCGCAGGAGTAGGAGCAGCAGCAGGAGCAGCAGCAGGAGCAGCCGGCCAAAGCAGCGACGCTGGCAGTGCACTTAATTAACAAATATACAAACACTTAACATAACCTCAACTGACAGGCGGTCGGGCAAGCGGGCAGAGCGCTGGGTGAGCGAGACAACGCTAGTGTAACAATTGCCCCATACCCTAATGCACACACACAGCAATAGAGTGTGAGCGCAGCTCGCTGCTCATTGGATGTTCGAAATGCGAGAGAGCGGCGGAAAAGAGAGCGCACGAACAATGTTTGGTTGCGTGCGAGCGAGTGTGTGTGTGTGTCTCTACCTGTGTGTGTTTTGTTCTTATTGCCGTTCCGGTTTTGGGCCCTGTGGCTTGACTGGCGACTGCTCGCTCTTGCTCATTTTTGCCGTCTCGTTTAGTTGCAAGTTCGCGGGAGCTTCAGTTGGTTCAGCTGACTGGCAGAGCGCACGTAACGGAAACCGGGCGAGAGTTTTATTGTTTTTTCGGACGCTTTATAGTATTATGTTGAATATTGAAAGCCAGACGTGCGTGAGCGCCATCTAGCGGCGAGACGATCACATCCTAACGAATCGAAAGTGCCTCTGCGTCTGTGTGTCTGTGTGTGTGTGTATGTGTGTGCGCGCGTGAACTAATTGCGAATTGTAAATACCGATACTTAAAAATGCCGACGGCTTTGCAGCCGCTGAAACAGGGCTAGCCGAACTTCTGCCTCGAGGCAAAAACAGCAGCAGCATTGCGTCCATTGAAAACTGGCTACACTTATGTCCACGCTGGCCAGCAGTCGCCATCCGACGCTGAATCTGACACTGAAACGCAGCAACGAGAGCCAGCGGCGAGAACAGGAAGAAGGAGCGGAGGGTGCAATGCATCCCGATTGCCTGCCACTGCCACTGCCGCTGGGCCCAACTGGCGGCCATGGGAGCAGTCCGCATCTCCAAAAGCAGCCTGAGGATGGGGAGGAGGACGACGGCTCCAACTGCGACGAGCATATGGTGAACATTCTGGACGACCAGGAGCCCAACGAGGAGGACGATGAAGAGCTCGACGACGCCGCCAGCTGCTGCAGCGAGAACAGCGTCCTCAGCGTGGGCCAGGAGCAGTCCCAGGTGGCTGCCGCCCAGGCCAGGCAGCGTCTGCTCATGAGCCAACTCTACCGCCCGTCGGCATTTAGCAGCGTCTCCAACTCCCATTCGCACGCTGTCGAGGAACCTGGCAGCGGCAGTCCCTTGCCCCACATGCCTGCGCCGGCCAGCTTTCAGGAGGAGTTCCTGCGCAAATCGCAGCTCTATGCAGAGGAGCTGATGAAGCAGCAAATGCAGCTGATGGCCGCCGCGAGGGTGAATGCTCTCACAGCCGCCGTGATGCCGCTGGGCGGCCTGCGCGGCCCCAAGGTGTCGCAGCAGCTGCAAATGGCCGCTGCGGCGGCGGCAGCTGCCGCAATGCGACCCACTTCTGGACAGGATGCACTTGCTCAGCTGACGGCCACCGCGTTGGGCATTGGCCCGGCCGCACATCCTCACCAGCTGCTCATGCAACAGCAGCTGCAGCAGCACCAGCAGCAGCAGCAGCATCAGCAGCCCCATCCCTTCCAGGCGCAGCAGAGCAACCACAACTACAACAACAACAATCTCAACGAGAACATGCATGAGCGGGCGCTCAAGTTCAGCATCGACAACATCCTCAAAGCCGACTTTGGATCACGTCTGCAGCAGCGCCTGGCCGCAACCGGGGCAGCTGCTGGTGGAGCAGTTGGCGCCGCGCCGCTGAAAACGCCCCGAAAGACCGTCAAGCCTCTGAACCTGGTCCAGTCGCAGTCACAGTCACAGTCAGGTCTGCAGCTGCAGACGCAGACACAGCCCAGCTTGAGCTTCTCCAGCACGCTGGCCAACATCTGCAGCAACAGCAACGACTCCAACAGCACCGCGACCAGCAGCAGCACCAACAACCCGGCCGCTGTTGACCTGGTCAAGTCACCAAACGCCACCTCGCCGTCGCCAGCAGCGGCCGGCGGCAAGGCTTCGGAGGATGGGACAGCCGCGACCTCGACATCGACCAGCTCCACGCCCATTGTGTGGCCCGCTTGGGTCTATTGCACGCGCTACAGCGACCGCCCCAGCTCAGGTAAGTGGAATCGTATGCGCCGACAATTTAATTCCCCTAAAACTATGGAATATAAGTGGAAGCATGTCATTGGCACGGATTGGGCATAGTTGCTCGAATTTGTATTCCTGTGTTACAATTGGTTTAAAGTGGGACGCTGAAAAATATCTGTAGTGAATAAAATAATTGAAATACGCGTGCAAAGTGACTTTTGCGACTGTTTAAAATATTACTACACTGAGCGAAAAATGCAATAATCATACTTGAATCAAGTAAAACCCGTCTTAAAGCTAGGTCTATCGGTAAACATTTACTCAAGTTTGAAATTCTATTTTCAAATATGACTTTTCAAGTTCCTATCTATTCAGAAAATAGTTTCTTGAAATCGAAAGTCTGTAATTATCAGACTACTTAATATCGAGGTCATAAATATGTTTGAGTATACAGTTATGTGTATAACATATATCCATATTTATTTAATAATAATTGAGATGAAAACATGAAAGAAGTTATCTTAAGAGTGCGATATAATCTAGGTATACTAAGCCAAACTATATCCAGATAAGCTATATAATATAATCTTTTATAATGCTCGTAATTTCTGAATGAAATTAATCTCAATCAAGCCGAAATGGCTGAGTTGACAGCTCGCACAGAAATAGACAGACGAACAGACAAATGTATATCGACTCAGATTGTTAAACTGATCAGGAATAAATATACATTATGGGAGCGAAGGTATTCAATCGTTAAGGGTTAAAGAGACAGACAACTTATTAAAAAAATATATCACCAATTGATTTTTATGGGTTTTTTTCTAATAATTTCTTAATATTTTAATAATTAATAATTGTACCTGGCAACGGTATCTGATCTCTAGACAGGAAGATTGCAGCCACTTTCACTTAGCTTACTTGTATACCCTATGCAGGGCAGAGAGGGTGTTGAATGGGGAGTGTTGAGTAGTTGAGTGGTTGAGTGGTTGAGTGGCTCGTAAACAGTTAAGCAAACAAACTGGCAACCACAGAGAAGTCCACACCACACCACACCACAGCACAGCACATCGCATCGTTCAGACAACGGCGTCAATCTGCAGCTCATTAGTTTGCAACCACCAAAAAAAGGGCAACAGCCGTGACACGCTCATGCCACGCCATGCCACAGCACTGTGAAAGGCACCCTCACCCTCACCCTCACCCTAAACCTCTAAGTCCAAGTCCACATCCACATCCACTTTCACATCCGCAGCCGCATCCACTTCCACTTCCATTTCCACTCATGAAGTGTCTGCTCGAGTGGTTTTTATGTCCTTATGGCTTATGTAACATAACTTAAGCTCATTATGCGCGTGCCTGTGTGTGTGTGTGAGTGCGAGTGTGTGTGTGTTCGTGTGTAACACCCATCTGCCACCCCCTTTCCTCGACTGCCCAACAATCATGGCACTCATGAATTTAGTTTATGCCGCCGCAGGGAATTTTTGGTAATCGTTTGCCTAATAATTTGATGTGGCCAACTACAAGTTCCTGTGCTCCTCGTCCAGGGTTGGGTATGCGAAGGGTTGTTCTATTGGCTGGTACTTCCAGTTCCCTTTTAGTGTTCAACTTGTCATTTTGTTGCCTTTTGCGTATTATCCACTATTCTCAAGTGGGCGTAATCATATAGCTATAGACTCTCTAATGCTGGCTAATGAGATTATTTATTACTAGTAAATACTAAACTAGATCAATGTTAGGACAATAACTTATCTGAACAAAAAACCAACATTAATTGGCAGGATTAGAAAGCCTAGTTATCATCTTATGTATATCTTACTGTCTATTGTCTTCATAGCCTGAGTCCATAAAATAATTAAGAGGCTAATGAATCAGAGCAAATATTAATGAAAGAGTAATTGTGACAGATTGTGAGCTTTGTGTTTATCCATTCAGTATTCTTTTAGAGATATGTATGTGTGCATTGCAGGTTTTCTTAAACCCTTTATCCAATCTTTAATATGGAGAAGGAGGAGTCTACGTTTCATTAAATATATAGTCATTTTGCTCAGTTGTTCATATGTAACATATAGGGCCCTTAAATTTAGAACGTAGCTCCTCCTCTTGCACGCACAGATCAGATTTATATCGAATCATCGATTATTATAGATTTTCATATTTCGTTACTGGATCATATCTCGGGAATTGTAAGATCTAATAACATTGTAATTCACTTTTACTTGTATGTAAAAGAAAGTCCGCATGCTTCCCACTGCATCTCCGATCTGTGTAGAAAGTAACTTCTTTCGACTAGATTCCTCCAAGTTCTTGCTTTACTCTACCTACTAGCACCTACTATACCTACTACTAGTGTATGTTTATTTACCATGAGATACTCTTGATGATTTGTACCAGCAATTTACCTATTAGACTGATTAATGTCAGGTCCCCATTCGAGTGATTTCTGGGCGCTCAACTGAATCCGACTACCCCATAGCCCCGCGCCTAGCCCCGTAGTCATGCCCATTCTCATATTTATTTCAATCTGGAATCCAAAACTGAAGCCGAGTGCATAAATCTACGCTTTTGGGTGGGTTTGTCGCGCTCGCTAATTAACCAGAAAACGAAACGTTTTTTTTCTTCTCTTGTTATTTTGTTGTTGTTTCTCTCTCTCTCTCTTTTTTTTTGAGGTGTGTTTATTGTAAAAATGTATTATGCATTTTATTGTTGTTGTTGGTTATTTTTTTATAAATTTAGCGTGACTAAAACGAGATCTCGATCGCATTGCGGCTCCATAATTTGAATGAATGTTGTAGGCGATGGCGTCGGAGCCGGAGCCGGACTTGGAGCTGAAGCGGGAGTCGGAGTCGGAGTCGAAGCTGGTTGCCTGTTGGCTTGGGCCTGGTTGTTGCTTTTCGGCTGCAACAATGATTTACCGTGAGATTTGTTCAGCAGCAATCAAAATAACAACAACAACAACAACAACAACAACAACGGCAGCTACAAAAGCTGCAGATAAAATGAGAGAAAAAACAACATTTAAATGCACACGAAATACCGAGAAAAAAACGTCATAAATTTGGTGCTTTTGAAAAATTGCCATGACTACGACAAGAAAAATTATTAAATTTTATTAAAAGGTGTTAATTTGACAAATTAATGCGACATGTGCGTCTGTGTGTGTGTGTGTGCGGAATTAACGGTTATCACAACTCATAAAACACGAATTTATTTGTTGCATTTAAAATATTTAAGCTTCAAGAAATCTACGAAATTTTACATTTTTAGTATGATTTTGGACATGTAGTAATAACTAATAATAATAACTGCTTTAACTAAGTAGACCCTTAAAAAAAGTAGACCTTAATGATATTGCTTTTCCGTAAAGTATGTCAAGAGTTTTCTATTTCTACTGTTTATCTAGAAGTTCTTTAAGTTTATCTAGAAGTTCTTTAAGTTCTTCTCTGAAATTCTACCCGCATAAGGACTTAAAATGCAAGTTGGTCGTGCTTAACTGCTGGGAATATCTAATTTGTACTAGATATGCCTCTGTATAATAGTTTTGAATGTTAGAAAATGGTTTTGATCCTCACGGAACATTCTAGTTGCGCAATCCTCTCCATTTTGTATGTGTCGGGACACTTCCCATTCAGTTTGGTTGTACAATTTTTGTCTGATGCAACTTGACGAGACCCACAGACCGTAGGTCTAGAGAACCCTTTGCTGTGAATATATCTATAAAATGACTCACGTTATAAATAATATCAATAATAATAACATATCTTTATAGCTTAGCTTACTACTCACTACTTACTTACTTGAAACTATCGAAAAGCAGTTTTATTTTTACTATTTAATATTAAATATATAAACAAATTAAATTGGGCTTTAAAATGCTTTCGCTTTAAGAAATAACTTCAAAGGCTACATGAAGCTTGTTTAATAAAAGCTTAGTTTTATATAATTTAAGGTCTTCAACTAACTTTATTCAACTAGTTACAGCAAATTCGACTGAGTTTAATCCTCATATTATGAACAGCTCAGGCGAGAGCAGAGTAACTCGGGAATTGATTAGTCTTTAGCATCTGTTTGTATATTTAATGAAATAAGCCACAAGAATTGTCAGTTCAATTGCAGTTTGTACGAGTAATAGGTATAATCAGAGTGTGCAATATCTTTGCAGAGCTGAGCCTGATCAACCACAAAATGATATATTTTCTATATAAAACAATAGCTACTGCTTTTAAATGCTCCAGACTGAGAAAGTGATCCGAAATATGTCGCATAATTGATCAGAGTGCGGGCAAGTCTTATTCGTTTCGTGGTATTTACATGTATATAAATATGCGTTGTCAGCACAGTTGAGCTGAGTGCTTCAACAGCTGCTCGTGTTGCCAATTACAGACGAGACAGTTAACAAATTCGATAAACTGGGAGCTAGGCCAGCGGCAAAGCAATTTTCGCATTTGTCCGGCACTTGGCGCTCATTTAACAGTAGCCCCGGTCGCAGCAGCGATCGCCACTGAACCATTAAGTAATTTTCAATTTGCCCAGAACGACCAACAACAAAACAACACACAACGAACAACAAAACAACAAACAAGAGGCTGCTGTGGCAGCCACAACAATGACAACATAAACAAACGAATTTCAATTACCCATCAGGCTGCCTGCAATTACCTTCAGCCCGCGCCACCCCCTCCGCTCCCTCCTCTATTGGCCGCCTCAAGAATTTTCCGCTAAAAATTACTTGAAAGTTTTTCGCTTCGCTTTTGCGCTCTTTTGCTGCGCATTTCTCAATGGAAAATTTGCTTAGAAAATTGGCCCCAGCGATTTGCCAGATGAAAAACCAGAATATCAAACGGAACAACAACAATTCCCATTTGGCATTTCTCTTGGCCAAACTCTCCGCCCCTAAAACGCTGCGTTTATCACAATTTTATCACAATAGTTGAGACTGCGGAATACTTCGTTGATTTCTGTTTTCACAGCCTCGCCGAATCTTCCGAATACCCTACTTTCTTTCTCTTAGTTGAGTTAGTTACGACTACAAAGTCTGCAATTACGTGTAGCTCTTTGGTAATTATGGCTGGAGGGGGAGTGGTAGGGGGGGGGGGGAGAGGGGGCCATTAGGCGTCGCCCGTCAAGTGGTCGCCACCTAATAACGTTTCGATTGCTTCGATTCTAGTCCCCGCGGCAACCCCTGGCAATACATGGAATCAATAAGTGGCGCCTTGCAACAGTTTAAGACCTATTTGCAACATTTGCCGCATTTGCCTGCAAGTGCAACTGTTCTCCCAAGTACTTATGCTGGCCAATTAGTTGGCCCGAGCACGTGACCCACTGCGTATGACTCTATCGAGGCAAAACGAGTGAGAGTGTTATAGACGAGTAGATACCCTGTACTCAGTCCCTTAAAACTTCCTTCTATATCCTCTGCTCCATACTATAGCGAATACTTCTTCAATAAGTACTTTTCTTTCGGTGCCATCCTTTTAGGTCTTTGATATGGCAAGCAAGAGTGTTTATATACAAGCCCAAGGCTTTAAATGAATTTAATCCCGATTTCGGATTATATACGAGTAGACGAGAATCTATATTTTAAATGAAGTTTCTTATAAGCTCCGAAATATGGCTAAAAATAAAATAAAAAAATCGATACTTATCGATTTCGTTTAATCTGGCTGAGCTATCCAGAATTTGAATTCAAATATGAAATCTTTTTCTCTTATAGTCCAGAGAATCTTACTATACTTCGATCTCAAGAGAACGACTTGACATTAATGCTGAATACCTTACTTAACATAAGAGATTGGAGATGCATTCTCCTGACTGTTACATACCTTTGCACGGAATCAATATACCCCTTTCCACTAGGTTTAAAATAGTAAATGTGTCAGATGAAGTTTGAGTATAGACTTCTTTCTGCCGATGATTCATGATTCAAAACGTGCTAGGAACAGTATCTGCGTATTTCTCTTTATTTTTGTATTTCTTGATGTGGCTAAGATGAACCCGCAAATATTATATATTTATAAATGTTTTTTAATCTCAAGAAATTAGCTAAAATCATCTAGTTTTTGAATTTGAAATGCGAATGGGGAAGATATAAATATGAAACCCTTCTTGCTGGCGCATACATCATATTATTAAAAACGTTCAACAAATAATATGTTTGAATTTAGCTTTAAATGCCTATAAAGCAGCTAAATTGAAGCAAGGAGTCACTTTAAAATTGATTTAGCTTTTCATTTGTGGGACAAGTCACTGAGCCCGCCCAATTGCGAGCCAATTTGCGCTGGGAACGCAATAAAACCAAAGCCAGAAACAACAACAGCAACAATAGCCGGGTCTATAGCATGTTTATGACCCAAATGCATACATAAATATGAATATGAATACGTAGCTGTCACGTCATATGATAATCAAGATATAGACGCCATATAGACGCCGACTTGGCTTGGGAACTTTTGCGGAGGCACAAAAGTCGAGACTTCCTTGGCCTCGAGACTCCGCCAGCCTTAGAAGGCAAATTAAGCCATTGGAGCAAGAAACTTGCTAGTCTAACAATTTGTTGTTGTTCTCGTTCTCGTTGTTGTTGTTGTTGTTGTTGCTGTTATTAAATGGAAATGTTGCGCATTTCCCGAGGCACGCCAACAGCATTCAGCAGCATTCAACACCTTAGAGAAAATTCGAGTGCCCTAAACGTCGAGGAATATGCTTGGAATTAGTCGTGGCCAGCATATGCTGGGGTTGGGGAGGGCCATTAATGGGGCTATTGCTAGTTTTGGGTCAGAGCACGCATAACTCAACGCCTCCTGGGGGCAGCCATGCCCATGCGCAAGCCCATCATAGCCATGGCAATCAGCTGGGCGATTTATGAAGTGACAAAAATTAATTTCAACTGTTAAGTTATCGCGCAGCAGCAGCAGCAGCAGCAGCAGCAACAACTGTAACTGGTAGCGCCTTTTAAGGCACGACTGCAGCAGCAGCAACAACAACAACAACAACAACAACAACTACAACTGCAGCAGCAGCAGCAGCAGCCATGCGCCTCGTACTGGCAATAAAACTGTCGGGCTTGGGGCTCTGGCCAGAGTTTTCCCAGTCCAAAACGAGACCATATCAGCCGGCAAAAATGTCGTTTAAACTGTGCTGCTGACCGCATTTGGTTAATGCGATCTGCAGTTGTTGTTGTTGTTGTTGTTGCAACTGTTGTAGATATGGCCTGAAATTGCTGCGGCAAGCGTTATTAACTGTCGTGTATACCCAGTAACTGGCATAAGGCGCAAAGGGTAATTTCCTCAAAATGTGCTTTTAATACTCCTTTAATATAGAAAATTTAAAAATATTTTTAATTTTATTTCATTCATTTAAAAAATATACTTTTATTTTGGCTTTAAGAATCTCTCTTGTTTTTTAAATAACATTCATTATTTATTTGATTTGTTACAAGCTTTTTTCGTAACTGATTTTTATTTTAAATTAAGTTTTTTATTTATTGTGTGTAATTTATTTAAGTTGCTTGAACAAATATAACATTTTTCTTAAATTAGCCAATTTATTCCGCTTGACATGTAATTCGATGTTGGATAAGAAATTTTCAAAATATTTCCGAATAATTAATTGATACACATTACACAAAGTGGTTTCAAAAGTGGTTCGGAATCATTTCAACTATGTTAAATACATTAAAGTAGGCTTAAATCGTGGCTTAAATCTCGAACTAAACTGGTCTGAAATTGATCAGATTGTAGGTCTTAAAGGTTTGGATATAAACTCTAAGGGAGCGGCATCTTTTGTTCAGTTATTCTAATAATAAGATTGTATAATATATAATTCTATATTGTAAGGCTTAAGGTTTGAAGAGAAGTGTGAAGCTCGAAATGGCTGAGTTTAGTTAAGATATCGACAGATCTTCGACAGATCCTTTCTATAGAG